CTTTGATCCCAGAATCACTCCCCTTTCCGAGCTCACTTCCATTGAGTTAGCAAGTCCAACATGCCGCAAGTCTCTTATAACTTATCGATAACTAGATTAGCAATGTAATTAATTAACATACACTGTGTTATGTGCAGCMTGTCCTGAGTGTGCCCGAACGAACCTCCAAGGGACTTTGAATGARACTCAGAACACATTGGAGATAGCACTGAATGAAAGCATGCAAGTGGAGAAGTTGAAACCTTTGAAGGCGTTACTGGACGATGTGGATAACAGAGTCTTGAAGATCAAAGTAAGTGATAAGTCTCTCCGACCGCCGCTCTGAGTGTCGCAGGATGCGTTGAGTGACTAAACTAAAGCATCCTGTTGCATTGTGTGAYGACACTTACGCATCCTGTTGCATTGCGTGACGACGCTAAGAACGACTGTGTGGGAGAGACGAAGTAGCTGAGATACTTTTTGCTTTTCAATTTGGGATTAAGAGGAGGGTGGCTTTACTTAATGATCTGTTGTACTCTCATATTCTGTTAACTTCATATCATCATCACCATCACCATCAACATGTGAGTTGAGCGTTGTGTGCAAAGAATCTTGAATGTAGCGGTAGTGTGTGTGAGTGAAAAGTGTCCCCAATCAATGGGAAAGCGGTAAAACCACTAGACACTTCAATAAATAAATACATTTATTTTTTATATTATCGACCTTGTGACTTAGTTCATTATCTTCGTGTTTCATCATCAACAAGGTTATCATATATAATAGATGTACGATATCTAATTCCCATATTGTTAGTTCATAATCATCATCGCCATCACCACTGTATATCATCACCATCACATCATCTTCATAACTATCTTTAGCATGATTAACGTCATCCATTATCACCATCACCATCAGATCATCTTAGTCACCGTCATCAWCATTACCATCATCATTGGATGTCTTCTCCATCTGATCATCATCATGACCAGTTCTCTATTCGAGGCCCATCCTTAAAGAGGATTTGTATCTCTTCCTTTACCTTTTCAAATTTATGTTCCTCAGGGCTTGGCTGATGATTTTGATAAAAGAGAACTAGAGCTGAGCGCAGGAATTGCAGACCTGAAATCAAACACTTTAAACAAAACCATCGTKGATCTTCAGTCACAAGTAAGACACCTTGTTATCAAAAACATAAAGTACATTCCTGCTATATATAGCTGCTTTACTTCAATATTCTTATAAGGAATTATAGGGAGGTAAATACGCCATGTCGTGAAAAACATAGTTATTTACATTCATTACCTTAGTGTAAAGCCCTAATGAACTTTAGGAATATTATTCTTATTCCGGGGATTGGTGCAACTACGTTCCTATCTTCCTAGGGTAATTATAAATTTCACAATTTTTTTTTCACTAAGTAGTCACTGGCTTGCGAAAATTCATTTACAATCACAGTAACTACTGGGTTACAACATCAAAGCTTTTACAACTCCAGTAGTTACTGGCTTACCAAACTTCATTTACAATCACAGTAACTACTGGGTTACAACATCAAAGCTTTTACAACTCCAGTAGTTACTGGCTTACAAAAATTCATTTAT